GCCCTGAGACCTGGCAATCTTTCTCCTTCATCCTTGTGTCCAAGATCCATGGAAGTTCTACAGGGCTAAATAGACCACATGAACTAGCCACCCTAACCCAGGCTTCTGGGCTTAGCTAGCACTCAGGGCTCCCTGCAATTCCACCCTACCTTTCTTTCTTTTTTTTTTTTTAGACTTTCTTTATTCATGAGAGACACACACACACACAGAGAGAGAGAGAGAGAGAGAGAGAGAGAGAGAGAGAGGAGAGAGAGAGAGACAGAGACACAGGCAGAGGGCAAAGCAGGCTCCATGCAGGGAGCCCGATGTGGAACCCGATCCCGGGTCTCCGGGATCACGCCCTGGGCTGAAGGCAGTCGCTAAACGGCTGAGCCATCCAGGGATCCCCCACCCTACCTTTCTAATCTCATCCTTCTCCACTCAAGCTCACAGAATCCTCCTTTCTGGCAGGTTTAGCCTGCCTCTGCCATCTAAACTTGCCTGGCTCATTCCTGTCTCTGTGCCTTTGCTCTTGGGCCATACTTCCTCCCCAAAGAACCAATGCTCTCTCTTCACCTGCTACCATGAACCCCATTCCGATCATTAGATTCCTCCCTCCACGTCTAATCAAGGTTCTTCCTCCCCACAGAAGCCTTCCCTGATCACCAGGCCTCCAGGGATCTTGCACTCCTCTGAATTCCTGTATTTGCCAATCACTCACCTGGCAATCTGCGATAGATGTTTGTTTACCTTTTATCTTTTCATGTGTGAGCCACTTCCTCATGACCATGAACCATAAAGCACAACTTTAAAAAGCTGAGTACTATAAGAGAAGTCAACACGAAGAGAGAGTTTTCAGGACTTAAGGGTCTCTCGACAAGAACAAGCAATTTCATTTTTTCATGTTTCTTTCTAGCCCTTGCCATTCCTGTTTACATTTTTACAGAGTAATAATCATCATAATGCACATACTGTTTTACATTCTGCTTTTTCTGCTAACATAGAAAACTGTCTTCTTTTTAAAATAATGTTGATTTTCAACATTTTTAATATCTCCATAGCAATCTTTGCACTGAGATTCTAGGCTACAATTTACTTAAGCATTGACTTTTATCAGACAGTCACATTCTTCTGTCTCTTTGTGCCTTTCACTGCATCAAGTACTATAAAATGTAAAGTAAACCCTTGAGAAATGCCTGTTGAAATATATTTATTATCCATCTTCCCTAACAACTGAATTAACCCCTTTCACTATCCAGCTAAATATCTAATGTAATTTTTGGTTTCACTACCTTAAGCTAGATAGGTAAGAAACAGATTTTCCAAACACTTTTGATGTAAATGTATTTATTTTGGTAGTTGATCTTATACACATTTAAACATGGGAGGCCCCCGGCAGAAAGGCAATAAGATCCCATCATATCTAATATAAACTAGACACCTGGCAGGTATTCGGTAAATATTAAATGTTTTTTAAACCACCCGAGTTACAAAACATCAAATTCCTAAACAGGAGAGTGTCACTGATCTAGCCAGTACTATCAATTATGCTTGTAAGCCTTTCAGTTCATTTAATAATTAGACTGGTTAATAATGTATGAATGGGTGTTCCTTACAGTATATAGAAGAACACAACCGGAGTTACCTGATGAGTTGTCCAAGTCTGAAAAATAACATGATAAACCAAACGATATCTGCAAGCAGAACTTCAAGATCTCATGACAAAACAATTTTACAGCTGTTCTTCAGCTTAAGTACTTATTTCAAATGAAGAAAAGCAAAAACAAAAGTTGCAATATTAGAAGTAGGTAAAATTACATGCATGTGAATACAAACCAGAATGGAAATTAGAAAATGACAGTGTGAATTGTTAGAATGGAAGGATGTCATAGACTTTTTCCCTTTTATGTTTCGTTAGTGCAATGTTAAAATATATAACAAGAAAAATACTATTAAGAAAAGCATATTCGGGATCCCTGGGTGGCGCAGCGGTTTGGCGCCTGCCTTTGGCCCAGGGCGCGATCCTGGAGACCCGGGATCGAACCCCACGTCGGGCTCCCGGTGCATGGAGCCTGCTTCTCCCTCTGCCTATGTCTCTTTCTCTCTCTCTTTCTCTCTCTGTGACTATCATAAATAAATAAAAATTAAAAAAATACATTAAAAAAAAGAAAAGAAAAGCATATTCATTAGCCATTATAATTCTTGCTATTATTGAACTAGAGCATACTGCTTAATGTTGTTAAAACAACTATGTTTCCCAAACCACATATAATTTAGCATAAAAGACCAAAACTCTTACTTCCATGATCAATGTTAAATAATAAACCAACTAACTACCTTAATACCTTAGCAGAGAAACTGAATCAGATGAAGAACTTAATGGTACACTAGAAGTTTATTGCAAATTTCAGATTACCTCAAAGAGCAGCCAATATGATTCCAAACATCAGAATCTATACGCCAAAACTTCCTCATCCTGATAACCCATTCTCTACTCATTCTTATTTGTGAAGAGTGATTTCTGAGTTTGCATCCTGAACTGATACGAGAAAAAATCCTGACTAGAAGTTTACTATTTGTGGTAAGTATACACTACTACTTACTTATTACACTATTTTTCCCAGAAGTAATGATTAGTCAAAGTAATATGATTCTTTCCAAAATTACTGGAAAGAAATGTACTTCTGTTTTAGTCTTTTTAAATAAATTCCAGATAGCAGTTTAAAAATCACTGGCTTTAGGGGAGCCTGGCTGGCTCAGTCAGTGGAGCATGCAACTCTTAATCTCAGGGTTGTAAATTCAAACTCCACGTTGGGTGTGGAGATTACTGAAAAATGAAATCTTAAAAAAAAAAAAAGAAAGAAAAAGAAAGAAAAGAAAAAAAACCACTGGCTTTAGAATTCCACTACAACGTATTCCATTGCATTCGAGATATATGTAAATGACGACTTCATGACAAAACAGAAATAGAATCAACTTTAATTATCTGTGGTAATCACAGCAAAAAGAAGTCCATGTGCATTCAGGAAATACAAGGCTAGGTAGAGATGGCACTAAATGAAGGGGGAAGCAATTTGCCACAATAAGGCACTTCCATTTATAGAGTAATGGATCCATGTATAAATCTTCATTTGAAAATGAATTCAAAGGAACATCCAATCCACAGCTAAAATTATTATTCTGTGTGTCCTCTGAAACTCTGATACTGCCAATTATCACAATCTAATGACAATTTATAACAACAGTACTTCCCCTCAAAAAATGAAATTCACGGCGGGGGAGGGGTCGGGGAGAGGGAAGGATTCTAATTATGTGAGATATAGGTCTTTTGTGATGGTTGGTTAGCTGCAACTTTTTAGCACTGACATTTCCCAGTTTTTTCTGAAAAGGCAATTTTAAGAGTTTGCTCAAATCACCCTTTCAGAATCAAAACCCAAATAAAGTTGTTTCTTGTGGCTTGCTTCTTCGTTTTTTCTTAATCATTAGGACGGTAATAAACTTGAGTAAAGATGCCTGCGCACGTAAGAACAGAAGCTTCTGAAAATTTTGAAGTTCATCTAATATCCTTTAATTTTGTCAAAGGAAAGACCTGAAAACCCGAAACTGCACTAGTTTAAGTATGGGGGGGGGGGTGCTGGGGAAGGACGCTTCTGTCACGTGACAGCCTTAAACAGACCTAGCAGGCACCCCAGGAATCACCCACTCTAATAGAAGATACGACTCCAAGAGATAAACCAACTTTCAAAAGGGCAACCCAACAAAACATGCTGTCAACTGGTTGATCTGTGTATCTCAATATATACAAAAGACAGCAAGGAAAAGGAAAAGCTGAAAACAACTCGTAATTTCTAGAGACTTAACGCTTGATTATGAACAAAGAAATTGCAAAAACGTCTTAGAAGTGACTCTGACACAAGATTTTGATTAGCTCAGAATCTTATCAACTGAAGCGTCATCTCCTGGGATTTTAACAGTGACCTCAATAACACACCACCGTATAGAAAGGGCCTGCAAAAATACATTATCTCATTTAAAGTTACTTGCCCAACCAACGCTGCTACTTAAGTAAGGAAAGCCATGACCCAGCCCACCTCCTCTTGGTACTTGGCGTTGGGGGGGCGGGGGGGGGTTCTCTTCCTCCATTTGACTAAAGATGATTTAAAATGTACTCGGTTTATCTGCTTTCTCTACCCTCCCTGCAGAATTGAGAGAATGTCTGAAAGATACAATTTCACAAGAATCTTGGCACTTAAACTATTTATTGTTGGAGAGATGACGAATATGACTGCAAGCAAAAACAAAACTATCTCAACAAGTCAAAAAAAAAAAAAAAAAGCAAAAAAGCAGGGAGGTGGAAGGGCATCTCTTTTACCCAACTTTAAAGTCCTTGCAATTCTTGATGACCGTCCAGGATAAATGTACAGAAAGTTCAAAAAAAAAAAAAAAGAGGCATTTTTTTGCACTTGAGTGCTTTCTCGGGAGTAAACTAAATTCCCTGCCATTTTTTTTTCCTGCCGCGGACACAAAAGTGTAGGGTTTGGGGTGGCCCGTGGGGGCCTCGGGGTCCCCGGCTGCTCCGGCCAGGCTGGAGGGGTGAGGACCCTCTGACAGCTGGCAGGGAGAAAGCGGGGGAGGGGGGCGCGGCGGGGCACGAGCGAGGGGCAGGGGTGGGGAGGGGGAGGAGGAAGCGAGCCCGGGGCGAGGGACCAGAGCGCCCTCCCGCAAGGGCAGGGGAGGCGAGAGGGCGAAAGGGCGCCGGGGCGGGGCGGGCCGGGCGCGCCGGCGGAAGGGGCAGCGGAGCGGGACGTGGGCCCCGCGGCGCCCGGGACGCGGTGCGGGCGAGGGGAGGGGCGTCCCCGCGCAGGACGAGATTTCGGGACGCGCTGGCCGCTCTCTCGCCTGGACGCGCGGACTGCAGGGGCGGGGCCGGCCGGACCCCACACGGCGGCCGCGGCTGAGGGAAGGGCGCGCCAGGCACCTGCCGCCTCCACCGCGGCGGCCCCGGCAGGCTCGGCTCTCACCTCTCCGGTTCATGGGCCGGATCCGCACGGCCACTTTCACTTTGGAGTCCCCCATCCTGCTGCCGCCGAGGATCTCCCTCGGCTTCCGTCTGCCGCGGCCACCGGGCAACTCTTCGGGACTGGCCGGGCGGGAGGGGGCTGCGGGCGGGAGGGGCGGGGCGGGGGCGGAGCCGGGGCGGGGCGGGGCCGGTCGCGGGGCGCCCGGCGCGCGTCCGCGGGGCATGATGGGACTTGTAGTTCCTGAAGGTGGACGAGGGCTTGACAGCGGCGGAGGAACTCGGCTCTGCGCTGTCTGGAACGTGTGCATGCCCCCTCTGCCTCTACGCCGTTCTGCTCTGACAGCTAGCACTGAAACAGAAGCCCTCGATGAGCCGATACCGCACCTGAAGACAAAGAGTGGAATAGACGGCATCGCAGACCCTGAGAGTGACCTCATGAGGACTCTCATTTCCTGCCAACCTTGAAGCATGATCCCTGGCTCGACTTCTTCGGCCGGGATTGCACTCCTGGCCTTGTTTGCTGGAAGTCATCCTTCAAGACAAAGCGAAAGTTAACCTCTTCTGGAAGTCTTCATAGATCCACTTGTTAAGCCTAGACGACCCCGCCCTCAGCCCCTTCCAGTTGAGACCTTGGGCTCTGCAACCAATCTGAATTCAAATCCTGCGTCAGCAGTTCCCAGCGGTGTGACCACGGACAAGTGATTTGACCGCTTAAGGCTTGTCTTTTCATAATTAAAATGAAAACATTTATGCCTATTTCATAGGATTGTTTCAAGGCTTAAATGAGTTAATACATGTAAAGTTCTTAAAAAAAAAACAAACCTCTGGCACGTTGGAAGTGCTCGATAAACGTAAGTCATAATGATCTTTGTTTTAGCATTTATCCTGCCATTATTTGCTCTTGGATCATGTCATTTTTTTAAAGATTTTATTTATTCATGAGAGACACAGAGGCAGAGACATGGTCAGAGGGAGAAGCGGGCTCCTTGATTTGTGGGGAGCTTGATGCAGGACTCCATCCCAGGACCCTGGGATCATCCCCTGAGCCAAGGCAGCCACCCAACCACTGACCCAGGCATCCCTCGGATCATGTATTTTTTAAGCCATGTCTTGTATGTGTAGCCTTGCCTGTATTAGACACTTAGTAAACATTTATTGCATAAATGAATAAATGCGTGAATGAGGCCGCACTAAAATTAGCGCCTTACTAACCCCAAGCAGAGACTGTGAACTGGTGGCCTGAGGGCAAGATCTGGCTTGCAACTCTGTTCCATTTGGCACAACAGTACTGGCCAACGCATGAAAATTAGGAGACTTGCCCATTCAGTTCTGGGTCTACATTACATATTAGGAATAATGGATTGGAACTGGGTCCCTGTGGCCACCTTCATGAGAGGCAGGGTTGTCCATTTCACCATCGCCTCCTTCCACTCTGCTTTACCACTCCTGTGTCTGAATCCCATAGGTTTGGGATGCCTACTTGGATATGTTTAAATGATAGCACAAAACTTAGAACTATTTTACAGATGAGTAAATACACGAAGCCAGCAAGACTCACCGTTTTACCAACCATCCTATTAGTTGACAGAGCTTCAACCCAAGTAGAATTGTCAAAAAGGTTGAAAGCACGTTAAGAGGAATGTCATTCTCATACCACATATAAATGAACATTGAAGACATCGCACTTTTTGAAATAAGCCAGAAATCACACGCAAAAAGCACTTGTTTCATGTATATGCAATACCTAGGATAATGAAATTCATAGAGACATAAAGTAGAATGGTAGTTGCCAGGGACTGGGGGGAGGGGGAAATGGGGCGTTAGTGTTTAATGGGTACAGAGTTTCTGTTTGGGAAGATAAAAAAAGTTCTGGAGGTGGATAGTGGTGATGGTTGCACAACAGTGTGAATGTACTTGATGCCACTGTACACTTAAAAGTGGTTTAAATGGGAAATTTATGGTATGTATATTTTACCACAATTTTTTTAAAAAGGTTAAAAATAGAGCTATGCCAGAATGCCCTCTTTAAAAGAAGGGAATTTATTTCACAGGGGCACTTTCTCTGAGGTTTCAGTGGGCTTTCTCAGCTGCAGAAGCAGTAGATATTAGTACAATAAGTCTTTTGATTTTCACAGCCCAATAAAGTAAACAAATAAAAGTATTAACTTAGGATTTCCAGCTTTTTTATTTTCTTTTTGCCAAGTAAATTTCTTAAAAACAAATGCGCACAATTACTATCTAGTCACTATCATTCTTTTGAGACCAAAAGAAAAAGGTCTCCAAAGATATATTTTATACCGAAATTGTTTGCTTGGTGAAAAACCTCACTACCATCCTTTTGCTTTTTTTTAGCATTGAAAAAACTTTTGTCATGTCCCCTTGACTCTAATAACCATCTTGCCATAGTCAGATTATAACAAATCAGGGTATGCAACGTGTCAAAGTCCTAGGCAGCCATTCTTCCCTTTATATCTCTTTTATAACCTGGCAACTGTTGGTTTTAAAAGGCACAGAGTGATGATAGCTTGAATCTGGCTTTTTAAACAGAGGCCAGACAGGCAGAAAAAAGAGAAGGCTGAACAGTTTCTGTGGGAACACTGTGTTTAAATTTAAGCTCAAATTTCAGAGAGAAGAAAGCCCCTAAGGAGTTGAAGTGGAGGTGGGGGAAGAGATTAACAGGGAAGAGGTGAGGACTTTCTCTAAAGTTCCAAAATTATTCAAATTGTCCTGGAAACATTTGATTGTTCGGTAGTAGCTTCCCAAGGGACTCTAGAGAAAACCCCTCGTGGGCCATTCTCCCTTCTGACTTCTATTCACACTAACTTCTCTCTTTTGACTTCTGCAAAAAACACAAGAAGAGAGGATTCTTAGAGCAGAAAACCTAAGACCAGAAATGCCTTCATCTTCCCGTGGAAAGTGTTCCTAAGATAGGCCGGAGAGAAAGGACTAAGCTGCAGGTTACAACCTGCAGCCCAGGAGCTCAGGGGTTTCACCAGGTGAAACTGGCGTGCTGCCTCACCACCACCTGGGGGGTGTGGGCTCAAGCTCCAACAGGAGACAGGGAAAGTCACTGGGCTCTCTGTCTTTTCAAATCCTCAGAGGAAAGAGAGGAAAAGAACTTAGCTAATAAAGCACTTCCTTGGACCTTTGTTTTGTAAAGCAAGTACTTAAGAAATGAACCAATATTGAGCCACCTGGGTGGCTCAGTGGTTGAACATCGGCCTTTGGCTCAGGTCATGATCCCTGGGGTCTGGGATCAAGTCTCCAAGTCTGAGTCCCACATCGGGCTCCCCACAGGAAGCCTGCTTCTCCCTCTGCCTATGTCTCTGTGTCTCTCATGAATAAATAAATAGAATCTTTAAAAATAAAAATAATTTAAAAATAAATTTAAAAAACTTTTTTAAGTCAACCGACATCTACGGGGTAGATACAACATTTCAAGGCATTGTGGGATCCCTGGGTGGCACAGCGGTTTGGTGCCTGCCTTTGGCCCAGGGCGCGATCCTGGAGACCCGGGATCAAATCCCACGTCAGGTTCCCGGTGCATGGAGCCTGCCTCTCCCTCTGCCTATGTCTCTGCCTCTCTCTCTCTCTGTGTGTGACTATCATAAATAAATAAAAATTAAAAAAAAATTCAAGGCATTGTGATAGGTCTGTTTAATGTTGAATTTTAACTGTGTCAATAATTTCTCATTTTTTGCCCCAACATTTTGCAAATCTACTTGTTCTAAACCTGACTTCTAGTTTACTTTTTGTTGCTTTGAATCACCCATTCAACAGTTTCTGGTGGTCCGTACCTAGACTGAGGAATACATTTTGCCTTGTCTTTGTAAGCTCATCACTTACAAAATAATAATGGCTAACATACATTGAATGCTCACTATGTGCCAGACACTGTCCTAAGCGTTTTACATGAATTAATTCATTTAATACCCACACTAACTCTCTGAAGTACTTACTGTATTATCCCAACATTACAGATGTGGAAACTGAGGACCTGAGCAAATTATTGAAGGAGCCCCTGCATTGCTACTGTGTTCTGACCTCCCACTCTATAGTCTTTCACAATGGGGAGAGTCATAGGCAGATTGCTCAGCTCGTGGGAATTAGAAAAGATCCAGTTTTCACCATTTCTGCTTTCCAAAATAGTTCCTAAAACTCCATTACTGTGAAAAAAATGGGAACTGTGTCTTAAGTTCTATTTTTGCCTTTAAAAAGGAGGGAATAAGTTAATCAAGGCAAAAGATTTCTTTCCAGAATAAATCAGAATTGACCTGGACTCCGGTCTCAGACTTAGCTTTGCCAGAACTTAATCTTCCCAGTTAGAGTCATCCCTTGCTGTCACCCCAGCTATACTGTGAACACAAGGAGAGAGTCTTCTGCAAATCTGTTTGTCTCCAACACGTAGGATCATGCCTGGAACATAGAAGGCAGGCACCTAATACATTTTGGGGAATGGAGACATAAGCAACACAGCATCACAATTAACCTCAGACAGATTAGATGACATGCCTCAAGTCACATAGGTACTAAGTGGCAAAGTTGGAATGCAAACATAAATTTGTTTGATTCCAAATATCTAAGCTGTTGTCACAAAGAAGCCATCCCCATATGTCCTTTCATGCAATTCTCATGTTAGCACCTTTTCTACCATGTGAATCCTTAGTGGGAGCCTTGGTTTCAATGACAGCAGTTATCATGCCATAGCTGTTATCTGTGAGTGGCTATGTGCCAGGCATTGTGCTCAGCACTCCCCCTATGTGATATCATTTACCTTTCACAACAATCCTGTGAATGATAGACTTTGGCACATGGGCAACTGAGACTTAATAAGGGAAATTAACTTGCCCAGTGGCCTGAGAAAGAAATTCCTGAATGCAAATCCTAGGTGTCCCCAAACACTGTGTGCCATTGCCTAAACTGCCAAACCATCACCACTCCCCTGCCCTGTCTCTTCATGTAGTATCTGGTGCTCTGCTGGGTCTACCAGTGTTTACTGACACTCCTCATCAACCACCCACTAAGAGGACCACACCTGAATCTTGCCATGATCTAAGACCGTATCACCTGTGAAATTCAATACCTCCCATCTATAACCCCAACCTCATCGAACCTGACTCCCTCTCCTACTCCCAAGG